GTCATAAAACGTGCTTTAAGAGCCTGACCATAGTCACCGTCATGTGGCTCGTCCCTGAAGAAGCTCACTGTATGTAGGTTCCTCACACAGGAAGCCATCCAAGTGGCAAATATGGTGAAGCCCTGGAATCTCTCTCCTTCCCTACAGCGCTTCTCCCCCGCCTCCCCCGCCTCCCTCCCTCCCTCCTGCGCCTCAGTATCTAGGTTTTCCCAGGCCTCTAGGGGGCGATCTTATTTTGGTCCCAGAATAGTGCGATCAGTCACCAAGTCTCCAGGCGCTAAAAATTACAACCCCTATTTAGACCCCCGCCACAGTGAAAGCTCATCCATTCGTGGAGCCCCACTGAAGGAATCCGTCCTCGCCGCCACGAGAGGCTTTTTATCGAGCAGAAACACTCGAGACGTAAACCCTCATTATGATGCGAGCTGTCCTATTTCTATTAGGAGACCCGCCCACCTCATCTCAGCAGACCCTCCTCACCTCGTCTCAATGCACACGGCAGCCTCGGAGCATCGAGCGACGCCGCGTTGGGACGTCGTTACAGCACGACGGCGATGCGATGTCGCTGACCTCATTCGTGACACGTTATGTCAGAAAATCAGGATCACTTCAAGTGTTTTGTGCGATTTTAATCACCTGAACGAGCCTTAAATAAGATTTCATTCACTTCCTAATGAGACAATAGGATCTAATTAGCGCGTTGGAATTATTACCAAACAGTCCGTTAGAAGCGACAGCGGCTTTCTGTTAGAGAGGGTCAGCTTTGCCAAAGGGCGGCGCCGCGGTGGCGCTAATCTCCAGACGCAACTATCAACACTTCATTATTCAATTTGGGATAAACTCAGCAGTTAAATTAAAGCCACAACAGCTGCTACACAAATGTTTATATCCTTATAGTAAAAGTTCTTTTTGAGGATAAATAAGTTGCTGAACAGTTTCTTTCCTCCACCCGCTTTCATGATCTATTATCGAGCCACCCTTTGATCCCTTTGGCTGAGTCTTTTTCTCAGGATTTAATCTGTCAGTAAGAATCTCTACTTTGTCCCTTCAGAGAATCCATTTCTCTCCCCTTGAGTGGCCGACACATCTTCTTCTTCTCTTTTTTTTTGTTGGTGTGTTTCTGCCGGTGTGCCTCCCTCCTCTCCGCCCGGTAGGCCTCACCATTTCTCCGGGACCCTATCTCTTCCCGAGCAGCTTAATGCAGTCCCCGTGCTCCAAAACAGCCATGTGTCTTCATGTGTCTCTCCTTCCTTCGTGTTGGCCCAGATGGATGGGCAAAACAAACAGCCAATGAATCAGAGTGAGAGATGTGGGAAGGAGGGGGGCAGGGATATATCATCTATGCTGGTGGCTGGAGCCCAAGCAGCTTAGAGCCCTGGATGAGCATAGTGAGATCAGCACAGTACAGCACAGATAAGCTGAGTACAGGCCCACACAACACAGAAAATAACACCACAGCGTACAGGCGCAAATACACCGCCAGAGAGAGTCAACAACACGCAGCTTTAATGTTATTGCCATTGTAACCTTGACACAGAACGCATCGCGTGTTGGCCCGTTTGTCATCCAGCCTTTAGGCAAGGTCAAGAACCATAAGCACGGCGCTGTAATGGATAGTGGCGTGTGAAGCGCCCACAACGGGGCCGCGGCCTTAAACAGCGCACAATGGAAGCTGTCGACGATGCTAATGCTGTATGTAATAGAGCAGGTGATGGAGTAAATACAGTCGAAGCTGCCTCACCGTGAACTCTCAGAGCCAGAAGACAGCAGCAGCTAGAAAAGGAAGGAGAAGCTCAGCGCGAGACGATTAGGATCTTTAATATTTATAACTGTTGGGTTTGCTCTGTTCCAGAGGGGAGCGGTTTAATCACTCAAAGTCATGTTATTTCTGAGGGAATGACAGCACACCGGGGACGGACGGCGTCATGCTGCGGTGAGCGCCGACTCGACGCCGGGCCGCCTGCGTGATTGCTGCCGCCTGTTAGGCCCTTCCACTGAGCATTAACTTAAAGGGCACTTGACACACCACATTGTCGTCGGTGCGATCTGGAGGGACTCTCCAAACCGGCCCTGCAGTGTGTGTGTCTGAGTGAGAGGGCACTCGAGAAAACACGACACGGACTGTACATGTGATTGCAAGCTTTGAATAAGGCACTCGACATGTTCCAATCCACCCCCTCGGCTCGGTTTCTGCCGACGCTTAAGTCACCTTGGGGACCAAAACACTGTGAAATGACTCTGCCGAGGTCACTTGACCTTCT